CAAGACAGAGACAGCAATCAGTTGGACAATGTTTTATTGATATATCTACAGTGGTGAAGCAAGTATCTTATAATAATAAAGTGAACTCTAAATACATGTTTTGCTGCACTCCCACAAGGAGATGGCCCCCACACCAGGGGTTTGGCCTCCCAACAGGGGATTCAGCCCCCCAACAGGAGATTCAGCCCCCACACAAGGGGTTCAGCTTCCCAACATGGGGTTCAGCCTCCCAATAGTGGGTTCAACCCCCAAACAAGGAGTACAGCCTCCCAACAGGGAATTCAGCCCCCAAACAAGGGGTTTGTCCCCCCAACAGGGGTTTCAACAACCAAACAAGTGGTACAGCCCCAAAACAAGGGGTTTGAGGTGGGGCAAGAGGCACTTGCATGCTCATCTGGATGCACCCCATGATTGAGAAGGGAGCACCACTTTGTCCTGTTTCCTGCTAGGCCTTCCCAAAGGTTTGGGTCAATTCCAAAAGCCTTCATATACTGCTTGCAGATGTCTTTGAAGTGCACATCTTGGGCATCCTACTCTTTTCTCCCCACCAGCAATTTGCCTACACAGGATTTTCTTTGGGATGTGCCCATTTTCCATCCTGTGAAGATGGCCAAGCCAGCATAAGCAGTGCTGCTTGAGTAGTGCAGTGATGGTTGGCAGGTTTGTTTTGGTGATGACCTCTGCGCTGATGATATTTTCTTGCCACTTAATGACAAGGGTGTGCTGTAAACAGTGTAGGTGGAAGCTATTCAGCTTCTTGATATGCATATGTTGACCGTGTCTCATTGCTATACATAAGGACACTGAGGACACAGGCTTTGTACACAAGCAGCTGTTTTGATAGTGAGTTTTGTATTGTTCCAGACTCATTTGGAGAGCTTACTGAAAGTGGTAGCTGATTTTCCAGTATTCATATTTACCTGTTCATCCACTAATAGGTTGTCATTCACTGTGGATCCAAGATAGCAGAACTTGTTCACTGCCTCGAGAAGTGTGTTGTCAAGGCTGATACATGGTGACTGGCAAACACCCTGTCTTAGGACCACAGTCTTCTTGATGCTGATGGCCAGGGCAAATATCCTGCAAGCATGGGAATGGCAATTCACAAGTATTTGTAGCTGGCCTTCTTCATGGGTGGTGCCTCACTTTTGTCTTGGTCTTTAATTGTGACAGACTGTAGTTTGGCATCTGATCTTGTGTGAAGGTATATACCTTTCTCCAAGCCATCAAAAGTGTAGTGCAGCAGCATAGAGAAGAACCCAAAGAGTATGGGCACCAGAACACAACTTTGCTTCACTCCACTCTTCATCTCAAACTTGTCAGAGGTTGACCCAAACCGAACTGTGCCCTGCATATTTTCATGGAAAGAACATATCATCCTGAGCAATGTTGGGGGGGGTGTCCAATTTTTACCAGGACCCTGAACAAACCTGCTCTGCTGATGGTATCAAAGGCTTTTGTTAGGTTTACAAATGCTACATACAATGGTTTATTTTGTTCTCTGCATTTTTCTTGCAGTTGGTATAAGAATATCATGTCCACTATTGATTTCCTTACTCTGAATCCCCACTGTGATTCTGGATAGATGTAATCAGCAAATTGTTGCAAGCATTTCAGGATGACTCTAGCAAAAGCCTTGCCTGTGATGCTGAGGGAGAGATGCCTCTACAGTTGTTGCAGTCACCCTTGTCTCTCTTTTTCTTGTATAGAGTGATGATGTTAGCATCACACATGTTCTGGGGTACTTGAGCTTCCTTCCAGCAGCATACTAGGAGTTGATAAAGGTGTGCTAGCAAGATAGCCTTCCCAAACTTGAGAACCTCAGGTCGGATGCCATCCTCACCTGGTGTTTTTCCACTTGCTAAAGAGTCTATGGCCTTGCTAAGTTTTTCAGCTGTAGGTTCTTTAACTAGCTGTGCCAGTGCACTTACAGTTGGTGGAGACCATTGCCTCTTCTGAAATGTTTGTTTCATGGGAGTAAAGCTCTAAGTAATGTTTGACCCAGCGTGACATCTGTCAGCGATTTTTACTTTGCCATCTTGAAGAGGGAAACTTTAGTGACAGTAGGACCAAGAGCTTTCTTCAGGCCATCATATGTAACTCATGGATTTCCTGTGTCTGGGGCAAACGGCATCACTTGACATACATCAGTCCAGTACTGGTTTGCACAGCATCTAGCTGTTTTCTGTAGCAGTCCCCTGCCATGCTTCAGCTTAATCTTGGATTCTGGTTGTGTTTCAGGTAGGCCATTCTTGGCTTCAACAAATGGTGGCATCTCTTCCAAGTGTGCATCAAACCACTCTTTATTTGACAATTTGTTTTTTCCCAAATACTACAGAATTGGCTACATTTAATCAGCTTCCTAGCTGGTTTCCATTACTGAGCACATGCTGCTTTTGTCAGTAGTTTATTGATAGACAGTATATTTTAATGAAGTGTCCTTGTACGTCTTGTAAGATGAGGGGGATATTTTTCCCCCATGCTGAAAAAGCCTCATCTTTTATTCAAGTAAATATGGTAAATTGAAGGCCATTTGAAAACATGCAACATTCAAATGTATGCAGAATATTGAGACCTCAAATGATTATGTTAGTTAATACTCCAGGATCACTATGCCTATTAACGGGAAGAAAACTAGATTTATGAATTATATAACTGTTTCCGAACTATTTGAATTCACCAAATTGCAACTTTAATATTTACCTTATGGGAGGCTTAAAAGTATCTTTAAAAAGGAATTTTATGTGGGTGTAGGAATAGAACAGAAAAATATCATAGCAAAAGTTTAAATTTATAAACCATGTGTTCAGCAACCCTGGAAGGCCAAATTGTTATATTTACAACAAGGAACAGTAAATTTTGGCTGGAGGGTTTGGAATGCTAGGAGGTGCAGAAAAAATAATTATATTGCTGCTCAAAGGGCAAAAGACACAGAGGAAGACATTTTCAAACAGTACACATCTCCAAGGAGGAAAACATTTAGGTGAATCTATAAAGACAACAGGTTTAGATTCATAATTTAAGAAGTCAACTAGCTTTAATTTCTCAAAAATAATTACTCATGAAATTAATTCTGTGGAGCAAAAATACAAGAAAATGAAAATCTGTCCAGTAATGTTAGTGACAGACCTGTAAATCTGACAGGAGAAGGAGGTGAGCAGTCAGGGAAAATGGGTTTGGGTTGTCTCATTGTACAGACTGCAGAGAACAGAACATAGAAAGAGGCAGGAAAGGAAATAAAGAAGTCAAGTATAATAGTGCTCACTGTTGAATGCCTAGAATAAAATATAAGCACAGAAGAGGAGATGTGGGGGGGGAGGGGAGAATCACCACAAAACTGTCAAATTAGACCTGACAAAATATCTATTTTCCAGATGCTCTTGTACAAATGACAGAAGATGCTGGGAAACTGCTCATTAAAATGCATGTGACAGGTTTCCAGAATCATGAAGTTAAGAAAAGTGACTACATATTTTGGAAAAGTTACCAGTATTCTGAGGGTAAGTCAAGTAGACACCTGGACACAAAAAAGACACTCCATCCTTATCCTTTAAATGGGTTTCTGCTAATTGGATATACTATTCCATATATGCATTCAGCTTCTCTCTATGGTTTGATGGACTGTTAAGACACTTACTGGACAATTTCAGAAGCAACTGCACAAAGAAAATGAAGGTAAGAAAGTCTACTGGTGCTCACCACAGTTCCAAAAAACACACTGAAGCATTTACTACATCTAGTCAGAGAGTTATAATCCTATCCAAAATGAATTACAAACACATCTGCTTCTGATCCAGTCTGCTGCCCCAGTATTAACCCAACAGAGGTCATTGAATAATTATGAAAGATTTAGCTTATTCAGTACTGGCACTTGCTGTTCCTGCCTATGGCCACTAGCTCCTCACTCAACCAAATACTGGGAGGAAAAAATATTGCAAAGAAAGGAAACAGCTCTGGAGGGGGAACAAGACTGGACAACATCCTATTATATGCAATGGATATTATCTAGGTATTAGAGAGTGTCTGCTTTCCATGTCCAAAATTTTATTTTTGTTCTTTCAGTTCAGGTTAATAGTGTAAAATTATAATTAACGAGGAATGTGTAATAGATTCCAACTGAAGTAATAATATTCACACACAATTCCTGCCCAGAATTTTTAAATGACCAATGGAGTTACTATTCCCAAGAAGTCTTTCATAGGCTTAACATCTAGTTTGGCCCCTAAATTAAGTAGGACAGAATTCAGAAAGTTTAATAAAATATTCTATGGTGACCAATACTCACACATTATTTTTGTGACTTCCATGGTAGTTCCGCAACTAAGTTCCAGGGTGGCATTTTCAAAAATATTTTAGGAACACAATTTAACTTTAATATCAATAGAAGGATATGTCCCACTAGACCTTGAACCAGACTTATGTTTTTAAGTAATTTTAGTGCTTATGTAAACTCCCTCCCTCAGCTCCTGGATTTAAGATTCCCCAGTAATTGATGGCAAAGCAGTAACACTGAAAAATTCACTTCTCTCTTAGTAGTTCAAAGAGAGACTACTTCCCTAAGAAATATTTTAAAAAACCCACAGTAATGGTGGGGAAGACTAGAGCATTAGAAAAATCGCCAAATAAAAATCTGGGACACCTGCAAAATGTGCCTAGATTCATAATGATTACTTCCCATTGCAACTCATTTTACAGTAAAGAATCGTTAAAAAGAAAGATGTTGCTACCACCCCATCTTTTATCCCAGTGGGTTACAAATCTTAAACACTATTTTTTAGGTAATGGTACATAATACAGTATAACCTCATAAATCCAGCATGCTTGGAACTGAGCACCTGCCAGAAATTTAAAAATTCCGGATTTTTGAAACCAGAGTGGCAGCTGGTCCTGGAGCAGTGGCCATAAGCAGAGCAGAAGCATGGCGTGGTGGATGGTGGCAGCAGCTGCCACGTGCAAGCTTCCCCCTCTGCTGCTCTGGGACTGGCCACCGCTTTCCCCTCCACTGCTCTGGGACTGGCTGCCACTACTCCCCAATGTGCCAGATTTTCAAGAATTCTGAATTTTTGATATACGGATTTATGAAGTTATACTGTAGTTAGAAATCATAGGGGACTGATAGAAAGTCAAAGTCTTCTTCCATAACATAGGCTGATTCAGTTCATTACAATATATAATTAAAAAGGGATTAGGTTAGATAGGCTAAACATCTGCGTTTCAACTTGCAAATTCTCCAGTAACAGTTAAAGTTGCCGCAGGAAAGTATCTTTATTCTTTCAAATTGGGGGCAGGAAGGGGGAGGAGAGGGGCAGGGTGGGGCAGGGGGCTCAAGACCAATCCATTTACTAATTTTAAGAGGAACTCAGTCCTTTGAAACACAGACCCTGTTTCTGTGACAGCACCCAACACTGCAAGTATATAAACCCAAGGCTGAGACATCAGATGAATGCAGTACAAGGAAATGCACAAAAAAATTGTCAGCACAATAAATTGCAATCTAGCAAGCCACTATCTAATCACACCCATCATAGGATGGTTTCAATAAGGGTACTGGAGTGATTTTCCAAATGTTCATGGAAAGCATCTCCTATAGAAAAGTTCATAAGAGGAAGCATGAGAAAAATGAGGACATGCCAGGCAATGACTATGAAAGAATCAGAAGGGAAAAAAATTCTTGCAGGTTACTGTTCCCTTCCCAGAAGGCTTCAGCAAACAGGCTTCTGTGGACAGGGATGCCTGAAGCCACTGGTATTGTATGAATCAAAATCCTGATGAGGAATTCCATATGAATCTTGGGAATATGCACCCTGGTTTTGAAACCATTCAATTACAAATTAGTGGTTTGGTATAACCCCAACAATAAGCAATTTGTCACGATTTGATGCACAGTACAATATTTACAAAACAAATATCTATGTTCCAAAATCCTTTTTGTGTATACAACATAAATACTACTCAAAGGACCCTGCATTTTTCTAGCTGAAGAAACAAAATTGAATCTATCCACAGACGCATGCATTCCAGACTACATTTTAACTTTCAATTCATTCAATAGTCAGATGGCACATGTGGCAATGCTACTTTCCAAGATGAACAATTTATATGCCTGTCAAGAGCATGCAGTTCTCCTTCCCCTTGCTTATCTCCCTAAGTTCATCCCTTGATTTGGTTTGACTTCTCTAGGAAGTTCTACCCATACTGGGTCTACCTTCTGTTCTCTAAACTAAGAACTTTCCAGCCATCAACTTCAGCTCATATGTGGCCCAATTAATCTCAACTCATACCTGCCAAGCTTTCCCATTCCTTCCCACTAACCTCCCAAATTTTCTTTCTACATTATTCAAGGCATGGGCACAGTCAAGCTACAGCATACAATATTTTCTATGGTAACTACCCATATGCATGCTCTTTCTGCTATTAATGAAAGCTAATTCACAGGAGCTTACCATGAGTGCACACTGGGAGAATTACCGCAGGACAGTTGACGTGCTATAAATCATTGTCCTCTATTTCACAGTAACTTCATTATGAGCCTATACCCTCTGATTCAACCTGAGTCACCTTTTATTCTGTCCTGTGTAGTGCTCACCTTAAGACCATGCCTGAAGCCAGTGCTTTATCCTGCACAGCATCTCTAAAATCTGCCCTTTCCTCTGTCCACAAAGTTAAAGCCTCTTCTCCTCATCAATTTTGAGGCACATGGGCAAGAAAGCTAGTACTACCACTCTCCATAGCCCCTACATTTAACAGATTTCAGTGTCCTGAACTATTTTGCACAAGAACTAAATCCAGGTAAAAATATTTTAGAAGATTCTCCACATGGAAGCATAAATGAGCTTTAAAAATTCATATTACATGACCAAGACCTCAATTTCATATTACAGATTTTGGGAATCATGGAGTAAGCAAATACTTGATCAACAAAATAATTCTAGATACTACATCAAGGAATGCACTTTCATCATTTATTTTGACAAACCGAGTGCACATCTTTCCAGCATATTACTAAATGTGCTCTGGCATATTTTGTAAAATAAATTAAGCTTTAGTTTTAGGAGCCAACAAATGTGCTTGCTCTTCCATTATATCTGTGCTGCGACCAATGAGACTGAAGAAGATAAGAGTGAATGCAATTGTATATGCTTATTAGTGAGCTGAAAACTAGTAATTTCTACTCTAGATGAAGACAGGATAATCTTGCTCTCTACATTCTGGTGTAGAACGAGAGTGAAAATCAAACTAGGTGTGCCTCTAACTTAGTTACAAAATTTCACATATTTGAGAAGCAGGCCATCAAATGTTTTATTCTCTCTGCATCAGAAATGTTGATGGCTACCATCCTGGGGCCACTATATGTTTGTAGCTACAGGGCATTACAGTACAAAATGAAAAAACTGATAGATATTCCATATATATGCCACAAACAACAACAACATTCCCTTTGACCATCTGTTCCTCCTTAGGTATAAGGGCTTCTAGAGAGAATAGGGTCTTGCATAGTGATCTTGCAGAAGGAGAGAGTTTCCTGTTGCTAAGAAACAGGGATGAGAATAATAGCTCCAGGATCAGCTGGAACTGAACTGATTAATGACAATTATCATTTTTTACCTGATTAGACTTATTTCATGAGGAATCAGGCACCCCATTTGCACAAGTTGCACTGCTTTCAGAAGCCCCAACCTACCTTAAGAACACCTTATTTGCATGTATTTCTGAATATGAGCATAATCATACAAGAAACTCTGGGTGACAGAAAAGACAAGAACTTTTGATACTCTGATTAAACATGTCAACAAGAAATCAAGCATTATGAGACCAAAAGGAGTTAACAGACTCTCGTTAATACTTTGAACTATAACTCACTAGTCCATCACTTGTTTCTGACAGATTTTTCATCTGCTCACCTTTTATCCCAAATTTAATTCCAAGATCAGTATCTATATCGCATCACTTGCTCCAGCATGTAAGTTAAGAAGTCAGTTTCACCTGTGGCACCACTTTTGCTGACATGAAAGATGGCATTAATTTTCTTGTTTCCTCTGGCATACTGGTTCAGATCAGCATGCTGATAAGCACCTATGAAAGCTGGAGTGCCTCTAAACATTACAAAGTTAAACTCTAAGAAACAGGCACTGAACAGAAGGGCTACATTCTTGTGTTACTGACTGTAACAGGGGACCCAGATCCTACTACTCAAACACGACAGAGAGGGAGGAAGACCCAATCAGCACATCTGGGGCATGGACCAAAGTGGTCCACATGGATGTGGGAAACCGGGCAAACAGCATTCAGAAATGAAAAGAACAGTGAAACACATTTAGGGTGAGACCAGGGATTGAAGCAGCCAGTCAAGCAGCCAATCCACACCAGGGAATCAGGAGGCTCCTGTCACTTTAACAGGATGGAGCAGCAGAAGGGCAGGCTGACCCTCAATTATGAGAGTAAAACCAAGTGTGTGGTAGGAGTGGAAGGCAGGTAACCAAGAGGGGTGGAGCGCCCAGGCACATAAACCCACCCCTGAGCCAAGGGAGAGAGTCAGGGCCTGCAGCTCACAGAGAGAGGAGGTTCCACAGGGAATCTTACAGTGCCTGAACCAAGGCTACCCATAAGGGTGAAAACGAGCCTAGCCCTGGGAGTTAGTTTGTGGGAGGCAAACTTTTGGAAGGCCGTATGCGTAGAGTTCAGTTGTACTAATATATGTTTGTTTATGTTTGTTGTATTACTGGAGGACTGAGTGTGGCTGTAAAGGGTGGACTGGAGCCCAAAGGGGTGCTGCAGGGGCACCCAACAGAGCCTTTTCAGGGTTTGGGACCCATTGGGCTGCACAGGGCAGAAGCCCAAACACTTTAGAAGGAGGCAGAGCTGCAACCTTGCCCTGGGTCCAGGATGCCAGTGGAGGCTGAGAGAAACCAAGAGCAGCCTTGCCCTTGCCCAGTAGGGGCTGAGACAAGGCCAAAATGCCAAGATATCAGATACCCAGAGAAGGCTGAGGACATAGGTGGATTAATGCATGGGCCGCTGGGCATGAGCTCAGGGGTCCCTACTGATTTTGGGCAGGGATACAAAAATGGTGCCAAGTTTAAAACCCCAGCTTTCACATTGTTTCCCTGCAGCTGGGAGTGGGGCCTCTCCCCCAATAAAGCCAGACTGGCTGGGAGTGCTACACAGCGTCACACCTCTGCAGGCAAGCAGTGGCATTGGCAGGACCTTGGGGGGCCATAGCCCCCCCCCCAGAATTCACCTTAGCCCCCTGTAGCCACCCTTCCCAGAGCCGACACCCACCTACAGAGGTGCAGCACAGCACTCCTGGCCCGACCCAGCTTGGCCTCGTGCATGTGTGTGGCCGCACAGACAGGGCCGGGTGTATGCAGGTCAGTGCAGGGGCCAGGCAGGAAGCGAGAAAGAGCCACAGGTGGCTCATGGAGCAGGGGTGGGGAAGGGAAGCCCCCTGTGCAGACCCTGGGAACTGCCCCCAAGAGTGTGGCGCTGCAGGAGCTGAGGCAGAGAAGCTCTACCTGGGGAGAGGACAGCTGCTGGGTCCCCGCCATTGCAGCATGTGCTAGGGCTGAGTCACTCCTGCCAGAACAGGGCTGTGGGCAGGCATGGAGGTCACTGAGGTCCCCCAGGGCCCTCTGGTCGCAGAGTTGCAGGGGGGGGAGGAGGGGACCTGGGAGCCACCTACCTGCCCCACGTCGGTACCACCCGGAGCAGGGATGTGATGGGTCCAGTTGCTAGAGTGGGTCCAGCAGCCCCCTTGGGGCTGCCTGGCCACAGCTGAAGAGGGCTCCAGTGCGCAGCATGGCTCGCCCATGCACAAGAGCTGGAGCTGGGGCCCCAGGGCCTTGCAGGGAGCTTGCCCACATCATCCTGCCAACTGGCCTAGGCCAGGTGGACTGCTCCATCCTTGCTCATAGCTGTGGGGGGTTTAGGTATCAGAAACCTGCCCCAGGATGGCCCACAGGGCAGCGGTGCCTCCCACCGATGGAGCAGCCCATGGGCAGCATCCGAATATCCCACTCCAGCCCCAGGTGTAGTCCAGGTGGGGTAGCTGCACTGCTGGCTTTCACAGCAATGCTCTTGGCTGTGAGTCAAGCTGCTGTGAGTTTTGCCCTTCACAGAACAGGGGAGAGGGGAGGGGGATGCCTCATAGTGAACAAGAGAGAGTGCGCAGGGTGGCCAGGCTCGGTATGCAAGTGTGTGTGTGTGCACGTGTGCGCGTTCATGGCAGGGAGAGTTTGTTTGCATCTGTGTCCATGTGCAGAGAGTGAGTGAAAGTAGAGTGTGTACCTGTCTGTGTGCATGCCTGTGTATGTGCATCTGTATGTTTGGCCATAGTGGGGGAGGAGGGTGGAGAGCAGGGAGAAGAGGCAGGCCTATACCACCATTCCCAGCCTGGCAGGGTCCACCCAGTAGGCCTGTGCAAAGCGGCAAATATTTGTTTTGGATTTGGATTCGGCCAATTCAGAGGACAGCAATTTGATTCAAAGATTTGAATCACTGTCCCAATTCAATTTGGACAAATCGGATCCAAAAAATTTGGCGCCTCTTTGGAAATTCAGCCATAGACTACCTCCAGCTGGCAAGTCTGTTGGGTTTGGGGGAGGGGGAGGGAAAGGGCATGGGAGGTCATGCTTAGGGGCAACCAACATGGGTTCATTAGAGGCAGGTC